ATATAAAGGAGAGATGGAAGACCATTTATTAACAAATAGCTAGTGAGTAGTTATGTACAAACCACTTGGTTTTGAAAAATATTGAAATTTTACCATACTAACTGTAGGTATTTGTTTTTAAAGATATATCATTTTAACACATACAGTTGAAACTCTATGCCAGTCTCCTCTGCTTTTCCAAGATAAAACATTATCTTGGAGTTTGTATATTTCTTACCATTCAGGTTTTATACATTTATCACATATGTATATATGCGTAAACAATAGGTGGTATGGTATTGTGTCTTTTTATAAAAATAGAATTATCTTTCATTTTGACCTTGTTCTTTCTCCTCAATTTTATGAATTTCAGCTTGGAGTCACAGACCTGTTACAACAGTAAGGACATTAGTGAATATCCAGCCACTACTTATTTTATTAAATTAATCTTAGTTTTAAAAATATTATATAAAATTTAAAAGATTATATATTCAATTTCTGTTCCATATACAAAATTACTGTCAAATATGCTTAGCTACTTTCCAGCCTTTTTATATATCATTTTTTGCATAATTGAAATAAAAATTTTAATATCAAGATAGTTATTTGATATTATATTATCATCTCTTCCCCCATTTCTACATTTCTTCCCCCTTTTGACAGTTGTGCTTAATGCCTCTAAAGCTATCCATCTAATGTATAACTCTCCCTCTAGTCTGAGATATTTAATATATTTTTGTTTTACAACCGTCCTTAGAAATAAGACTACAATAAATGAAATAAAAATAACATCTGAATTTGTTAGTTTTTATTATATTTGGTGTTCTTTCCTCAGATTAAATTGCAAAATCTTTTGTAAAATATCTGCTCTATTACATATTTTTATTTGGTACCTTAAGGTCATAGAAATGTGAATGTACTATTAGTATAATAAATATTCATATATGGACTTTTAAAATGACACAGAAATTATCATATTGCATTCTTTTCTCCAGAACTAGGAAGTAAGAATAGTAAGATCTCCTTTAAAAAGTTAAATTACAATGAATCAGAGCAGAGATAATGTCAAATCACCTAACCTGATTGAATGTATTAACATATATAAAGAAAAATGTGCGAATCAGAGAGCTTGCTGTCCAGCCCCAGAGGCAAGATCTCACTGCTATGTCTCATTGTAAATTAATAAATTAATTAAACGAATAATTCACTTATTGGGATTTGACTCCCTATAAAGATTGCCCACGGGGAGAAAATGGCCTTGTCAAGCAGATACAAATATTCCAGTTTTTGAGGCAATTACATTCTCCTTGCAAATGGAATTGACATTTAGTCCCAAGATTCTGTTTAACATTAGTCTGCCACTGAGAGATAAATCCTCTAAACCTAAAAATCAGGTTTAGGAGTGTGTCAGGCCTTTGATCCGACTCCCCGCCGGAACGTCCCTGCCTTCGGGGGGCGTCCAGTGAGCGGCCACGGCATTTTTTTCCCATAATCAAACTCATGTTTAATTCTGTAAAGTCCATCTTTTCCTTCACAATTTCCCTTACTGTTTATATATTTAGAAATGGCGTTCCCCCTAGAGACTCGTAAAGCATTACATTTTATTAATTCTATTGTGTGATATTTTAACCATTTACCAATTTATTCATTCAGTAGGTTGTATATCAAGAATAGCCCACCGTTCATTCATTCATTCATTCATTCGTATCATAACTTTTTATCAAGTGACTATTAATGGAAATCTACCTTTTCTCAGGTGCTAAAAAGAGAACTGTAAAAATCTCAGTCTAGCGGAGAAAAGACACTTGTTTGCAGCGCCCTGGTAGGTCCACAGCGCAGTGGGGTTGCGGGTGAGAGGCCCATCCAAACCCTGCGGGGCGGGGCGAGGGTTGCAGAAACGCCAGGTGTGAGAGTAGGAGGGGAAGGTGCCGCGGAGGCTGGGAGTGGCGATTTGGGGAGCGCTCCAGAACGGAACCAGAGCCCCAGACGCTAAGGCGAGGAAGGCTTATTTTGGGGCAAGGTGAATCATTATAAAAATTAAAAAAAGAGTCGGAGCACAGGGGCCGAGAGGTTCTCCAAGGGTTGGACGGGAGAAGAAAGCAATGGTGAACCGTGACTTTATTTATTCCCGGGATCACCTGATGGGAGTATCCCTACTGAAATCCTAGACTATTGTGTTTCAAACTGTCACAGGGGTTGGTAAGCTTTTTCTATAAAGGGTCTGATAGCAAATACGCTAGAAGGTCTCTGTCTGCAACTATTCAACTGCTGCTTTTGCATGAAAAGAGTCCTAGACAGTATACAAACAAGTGGGCGTGGCTGCAGCTGCATTTCAAGAAAGCTTTATTTATATAACCGGTATCAGGCTGATACTGGCCCAAGGCCATAATTTGACTCCTCACCCTTGCGGAAGAGTTTCTGCAGAATAGTAGATAATCGTGCTTGGCAATAACAAAGGTCAAATAAACTCACATCTGAAACCACACGGTAGGTTTTGTCTATTTGCAGAAGGTTTTATCCTAGTTTGTTTAGAACTCTTCTTTCAGGAGCACACGCATTAAACAGGGAACTAGTGAAAACATTTATTTAATGAATAAGGTGATTAATAGCACAGATAATATATTCATCCCAATGCTTTCATCAGAAAATGAAAACCTCAAAATTTTTAAAACTTGTAAACATAAACACTTTATGATTGTGTACCATCTTAAAGAATGCAATATTTCTACTAACTTTCATAATAATCTCAATATACATGAAACTTGAAGGCAGGTTACATATTTTATGCAAATTATTCCAGGAACCCAGGAAAATGCCTGGTACAGAGAAGTTGTGTTAAGATACATTTAACTGAGAGCAAATATCATTTTTCTATTAAATAGCTGAAAAATTTGGTCTTAGGTTAAATGTTTTAATAACATCACATAAACAGTGTCAAGGCAGAACTAAAATCCAGATTATCTGAGTCCTGGATTTTTAATTTCAGTTGTACTCAACAGTCACGGATATGAAAGGGATCACAGGGCTAAACGTTTAGAATTGCCAAGGACAAAAAGACTGTAAAATAGAAACTTGGGAGTGATTAACATAATGTTTTATCATGTGGACTAGGGGACAGAGATATTTAGCTTGCAACAAAAGAAAAGAATGAAGCAATTTACAGAGAAGCTTTTGAATGAAACTTGGAGAGTACTGAGCCGATTCGAGTTGGTTAAGCTGTTCCGGAGACCTAAATACCATCTTATCCCTGGGTTCCATGGGGAATCCTGTGGTCCCTAACATACCTGGTCATTTCCATTTCCATTTGTTTCTGTTTTCAGCCAATTTTATAAAGTAATGACTGATACAGAGAGTCATTAAATGAACACATGGTCAATGTTTATTTGAATTCAGTCTCGAAAAAGTCTACATTAATTAAGTTGAGATTTAAGACAGCTACCCAGAACAAGAAACTCATAAAAATTACTCTCTTCTGAAATCTTTAGGTACAAGGCAAATATTCTGCAGTGGAAAAAATCTGTCTGACTAAATGGGTTAGCTTAATACCAAAGTAACCATTGCCATTATTTACATTTATGCAATGAGCTGGCTAAATTCAGAGACAATTATGGTCTGCAGTCTTACAGACAAAATGCTGTTTGATACTGTTCAAAATGACAAAATGGACTTTTCTTTATCACCAAATCAGAGTAGGTGAAAAAGTCTCTTGGCCTGCCACCTCTCCATGTTAGTTCTGAGATGGGCAAGGGTCAGTGAAGCGTGGTCACGTGTCTATAACTGACTTATAATTGAAAAATATTTAGTTAACAGATAGGCATAAGCATGTCCAAATAAATTAAGTCCTAAAAAATTCAATAGAGAAAACTATTCCCCTTCAAAATTGCATAAGCAGAGGGGATTTGGAAGTAATTGTACCTATTCTCTTTGGAATAAATGAGGCTAAAGGATAGTATAAAAGAATCAGCAAGTGTGTCTGATAAACATGCCTCCTCTTTTAAATATATAATATGATCTTCTAGGTTAGTGGTTTTCAAAGTATGGACCCAGGACCAACGACATCGACATCACCTGGGAACTTGTTAAAGGTGCCGAGTCTTGAGTCCCACTGACAATCTACTGAATCAGAAACCATGGGTGAGGGGCCAGCCATCTCTGATTCTAATGCACACTGCAATGGGTTGACTTGTGTTCATTCATGTCTACTTCACCCTATCTCATTTGTATTTTGAAGCCATAAACACCAATGTGATGGTATTTGGGGATAATTAGGGTTAGATGGGTCATGAAGATAGCATCCTTATGATAGAACTAGTACCCTTAGGAGATCAGGGTGCTTATTCTCTCCTCAAAAATTGCTTTGTGTCCCATTCAGAAGAAAGAAAAGAAAGAAAGAAAGAAAGAAAGAAAGAAAGAAAGAAAGAAAGAAAGAAAGAAAGAAAAGAAGGAAGGAAGGAAGGAAAGAAGGAAGGAAACTATGTTGGGACAAAATCAAGGGGTTTTATCATAAGAAATATCCTTCATATTTCTAAATAAATGTCACTATAATTATCTTGTATCTCTTGCTAGAAGAAAGGATATATGGTCATCTTTGTGTTTTTATGATATTATAAAATATCTTCTCCTCTACCTCCTATATGATTGAAAGTCACTGGATTGTATTTTCCAGTATGTGCGTTAGTGTGTCAGGGAGATAATGAATTATTTTGTTTTAAAATTTTCTAAATAGTAAGAAAAATCTACATACCTTTTAAAAAATGATAGCTCTTGACTTTTAAAGTCATTGGAATATAATCTTTGAAGTGTTTTCATTTGCATACCTGACATAAATTATAAAATGGAGAGAATAGATTTTACTTTTCAGCTTTGACTAATGCCATGCTTCCACTTAAATTCTTTACCATTTATGTGATGTTAGAAAGTTGGAAATTTATCCCAAGAATTGACCTTGTTGAGGAAAAGTGCTAAAATTCTTTTTTAAGCACTATAAAACTCTAATGAAGCTCTGCTTGCTTGTGTTGCAGCTCCACCGACGACAGTCCGACTGGTCGATGGTAGTGGCCCCCATGAAGGCCGAGTGGAGATTTTCCACAACGGCCAGTGGGGTACAGTCTGTGATGACCACTGGGAATTGCGTGGGGGACTCGTCGTCTGCAGGAGTTTGGGATACCGCGGTGTTCAGACTGTGCATAAGGAAGCCAATTTTGGACAAGGTAATTTTCTTTATTTTTTTTTAAAAAAAGAAACATAAGCATTCTTTAATACATAAAAGCAAGTAGAGATAGAAACTTATGGGATAGGAAGAAAAATTCTATGTCGAATGTTTTAAAATGACCTTTCCTAGAAAGCAGAAATGAAAAGAAAGGGATGTTAAAATCAAAAGCCATGTGTTCTCAGACAACCTTTAACGTTTAAATTTTATTTAGATTCAGTTGGTTAGTTGGGGAGTACTAACACAGAGGAAAAGAGAATGATTGACAAAGCAGGGCAGGTGAATCAACTACTCGATTGTTAGAATCCAGGGAGTGGACAGCTACAGTTCTAACAGAAGGCTTGCGATTGTCATCCACGTGGACTTATTCACCTGGAGAGGAAGGCTAAAAATTCTTCAGTTTTAGAAATAGCAGCATGTGATGATCGGAATTCTTGGGATGTGTCTTTGCTGACAAAATGAAATCTAGTTTGCCAGTTGTCTAGATAATTTAATCAATGTGGTCTAGCTGAACAGCTCAATCCAAAAAGACTGATACACTAAAATTACTTTTATCAAGATGACTTATACCTTACATTGTCCAAAGAGTTGACAACTCTGCATTTCGCTTTATAGCTTTTACGAACAGGCCTGGTAGTTCACTTTATTAATTTTTCATATCTCAAAGGAAACCTTTAATCTGTTACAAAGAGAAAACAAATTTAGAGAAACAGCAGCCACATATGTACATTAATTCAGGGGAAACTATTAATAAGGTTTGGAAAAATACAATTTGTTGTAGGGAAGCAAATAAGATGTACCCTGGCTTTATTTCCTCCCTGAATACAAAGCCTTATTATCGATTTCAAAGCTGCTTATCCATTTTAGTTTCAAACATAGACAGTAAAGTCACAGCTGGACACCGCTGTCTTAAGATCGCATTAACTTTAAGGCCTGGTTCCCCAAGTGAAATATTCTTCAGCCCCACAGCTTTCATTCATTCCTGCTTCTATCTCTAGGGATTTCCGGTCCAAAGCACTGATAAAGAGGAAGAATGTAAGTGCTGTAAACTACTGGCAAGGAAACATTTTCTATATAAATAAGTAATAAAACAATAAGGTTAATCTTGTGTGAATTTTTTTGGCTATGTGGAGGCAATTTTCTTAAGTTTTCTTCAGATAACTGACTCCTCTAAGATGCATCCATTTCTTATTGAGACTGTGTATTTATGGTAGTTGGTGATTCTATAAATTACACTAGAGTTTTACTATAATAAATCAACAAGGCTTGTCAGAATTTTGTTTTTCCTTTCACATTTTCGAGTGCCTGCTGAAGTGAACTTGGTAACAAAAGAGATGAGTTGAAACTTAAGCGCTGGTTCCTATGTCTCAGAGTTTCAATTTCTATTTTCAATAAAATGAGAATAATAATAATAGCAAGCAAGATTTATCTGGAATCTTAAAAGAAATGGCATATAAAAAGTGCCCAGTACACAGATGGATATGTTCATTATCTCGATGTGTTGATGTTTTCATGGATGTATACATATATCAAACTTGGATTGCATACTTTAAACATATACAGTACATTGCACATTGATTGTACCTCAGTAAAGCTGTTAAACACACACACACACACACACACACACACACACACACACACACACACACACGGTGCCCAGTACAAAGCCCGCCTTGTAGCTTTGCTCAATGGTGGCAAAGACCACCACCAATGGCATAAATTTAGGTTTATTTTCCATCCTCTTTGAAAGGTGGGAGAGTCAGATCTGTGTTATATAGTACAGTGCCAACAGCGACGTTCCGAGGGCCATAACGTTGAATGTGATGTCTTCACGTAGGGAGAGAGCTGTGATTGACATGCACTGCGTAGGAGTTCAGGTCATCTCCCCACTCCACCCAAGAGCTCTTGTTTCTGCTCGGTGCATGGAATTCAGTACCAAACAAGTGAAGAATGACTATGAAAATTTTAAAGAAATAAAGCAAGATCAGCTAGGAGAGTTATCAATAAAACTGAGGTTATTTGTTCTGAAGCAAAGGAATCTGAGAAATAAATCTCACAACCTGCTTCATTGTACATTTTATTTTAAGAAAGGTTTACATTGTAAGCTGATTTTGGATGAGGCACAGCAAACAACCTTTTTATGTAAAGCTGCATAAACTCCTCCTTATTCTTCCACTCTTCCACCTTAAATTTACAGTGTCACTCCGGGGGAAAAGAAAAAGCAATTCTGAATGCAACATAGAGACAGGAAACAGAAATAGGAGTGGAAAGTTGGGAGAGAAAAGATGCATTAGAATTTTAATCATTTGTCATTTCTTAGGAAAGTAAGAGGAATCAGGTTAATACTATATATATTATTACCAAAACTGAAACAAGAAAAAAATATTAAATTTATCTTCTTTCTATAGCCTCCCTCCATTAAAGGAAGAATACAATTTTCTGAATGCAGTTTCTGCTTTCTCCCTCTCCTCTCCTCCCCTCCCCTCCCCTCCTCTCCCTCCCCCCTCTTTTCTGCTCTCCTCTCGTCTTCTCTTCTCTCTCTCTTTCTCTCTCTATCATTTTAAAATAGCAAACCTGGCTTACCAGAGATAATCCTTGTTAGCTTTAAGAAGAATTAGTTTTGCAGTAGCAAGAAAAATGATTTATAGAAATGAAGCTTAAAGCATACTCCTTTAAATAGGTTTCTTCATTTGGGTGCACCTTTTGCTAAAGTGGAATTTTTCTTTTCTTTTTTCCTGAGTAGACGAAAAGGTTAAATTAAAGAAGCACTGAGAGGCATTTTGCTCGTCGTTGCATGGGGCAGGGAAGGCGGAGTGAGTCACTTGTCTCTCTCTTTGTTCTCCAATCTCTCATCCCAGCGGTCTCTCGGCAGCAAACTTGGATGAGATCTATCAGACCATGGTGGTACTCTGGGAATTTGTTCAAGGCCTATTGAAGCCCGTATGCAAATGCAGGAGGTGTGAGCTGGGCCTGGAGAAGCTATCTCCTCTTCTCCTCACTGTACACAAGTTTGTGCTGAAGCCCCAAACTTGAGAGCAGAAACAAAAACATAAATGTCATCTTCTATTCATTACCTCTTTTGCATTCCATAACCCATTTGCTAAGCGGAATTTAAAATAAATATGAGAATAAACTGAAGGAGATCAAAAATATAACTATACATCTGAACTGTGCTTTAGTAGAAGGGAGTAAAAATAATCTCAAAGATAAAGTATCTCAATAGGTTGGAACTCAAATTCTTACATAGTGCACCATGCACAATGAAATTTTTAAAAGATGTTTATGTGTTGGATGTTATAGAACCTGATATAGAGCCTATAGAGGGTTTTTTTTAAGCTTTTATTTACTTATTTTTAGAGAGGGGAAGGGTGGGAGAAAGAGAGGAGGAGACATATTAATGTGTAGTTGCCTCTCGAATGCCCCTTACTGGGGCCTGCAAGCCAGGCATGTGCCCTCGACTGGGAATCAAACCAGTGACCTTTTGGTTCACAGGCTGGCGCTCAGTCCACTGACCCACATCAGCCAGGGTGAGCCTCTAGGGTTCTTATGGTAACAAAGACAGTATGAAATAGGAATAATATTGTATAGCAAGTGATCTCATTTAGTGCACACAGCGCCTGTGAGAAATAGATGTTTGCACAGCAGTTATGGTATTTTGGTGGTTGAGGGTATCTAGATTCATTGTCTGAACTTATATCTTTACTAGACAGAATGTTCTCTATCCTTAAGAACTTCTTAAGATCCTTAAGATCATGCTTCTGCAAAATCTTAAAATCACAGAATATTAAAGGTATGAAATTTTGGAGGTACTTTAGCCATACCTCTTTATTTTGCATATATAATAAAATAGGGGAACTATATGGTTTCTTTAAAACCACAAAACTAGGATCCAGAATGCTAGTCTATTTAACCATTCTCTATTCTGATTCCCATTCCATTTTCAGCTTTCATTCCCCTACCCCCCACAAAACAAAACAAATGAAAAAAAAAAAAACCCACAATAGTTTTTCTCAGAGACATTCTTGACAAAGTACTTCCCTATTAGAAGTCTTAAAAGTGATACAAATTCATGTCACCCAGCCATAGCTGGATTTAATGCAAATTCATGCAGAGATTTTTTTTAACCATTTGTGGTTTTTACTTCCCCACAAACATATTCAGCAGCTAATAACAAATCTCATTTGATGTATATCTGGCTAATGCATAAAATTTGATTTCCTTTTTTTTGCTTTCATAAAGTGGTGGGTTACTGAAGATTAGATTAAAGAAACTGAAATCCCTCAAAGAACAGTGGTATCTGCATTTTTTTAAAAAAAGAAACTAAGGGAAAAGAGTATCACCTGTCAAGCATAATGCAAAGCATCACAAGCCAAGCTCATAAAACCCCAGAATCGATGGACAATACATTCATCATCGAACCCCCATAGTCCTAAAATGTTAAAGGAATTGAAAGTGCACAGCTAACTAGATAGATTAGATAGATAGATAGATAGACAATAGGTAGGATTAGAGAATAAAAACATCTAAAACATACACATCAATTTTGCATAGGTTTACACTAAGTAGAAAGGTAGCTTGGAGGCAAACAACAATGATAGCAGCAACAACAAATCTTTAATTTAGGTAATAATGGTTATTACCTAAAGAAATAAAAACAAATTTGTTTCTCTTTACTTTTGAGGTTTGCATGAAGATAAAATTTTACTAATTTTATGCTACCTAAGCATTAATTTTAATGCAGGAAACAATTTGGAAGGCTATGGGAAATGCATATTAAATAAATTTTCCCCTTGGGCTCAATAGTCCTGGATATATTAATATAAAAGTAAAATGACATATCTTTGAAAATTATTTTTATAGCTCTATTTGGGCTTGTGTGTAGTCACTAAATACCACCCAGGTTTAAAGATTATTATGTTCTGTTGCTGGGCTCTGTTCTGTTTGAGAAAACCATTCATCCTTTCTGTGCCTCTGTTTACTTAAGCATGAAATGGTGATAATTGCCATGATTTTACAAGATTATTAGAAGAGCACCTTTTAAAGATCATATGTGAAAGTAGATACAGTATGTTCACTGTATCTGAGGGCATGTGCCTTGCATCTGAATCTTTTCCGCATAGAAGAGACCAGAGTCGCTGGGTGGCGCACTCTATTTTTCACAGCTGTGGAACAAGGGCTAGGAGTTCTAGATGCAGCATCAGCTCTGCACTAAATACCTATGTGAACTTGGTTGCTCTGTCTACCTAAAACAGAAGTCCTCCCTAGGAGGTCAGTCCAAGAGAGAATGGATTTTGATTTCGTTCCTTTGTGTAGGCACTCAAAACATCTGTTGAAGGGCTGAATCTAATAATGCGAAACATCACAGTAAATCATTGATTAAAGGCCCTGGCTCTAGAGACCTGGGGAAATGCTTCATCATGCATTAGCTACTTGACCTTGAGCAAAGTTACTTATTGTCTCTGATTTTTACTTTCCTCAACAGTAAAATGGCACTATAAAAGCACTTACCTTTTTAAGGTTGTTTGAGGATTCAATGAGATAACAAATCAAAAGTGCTCTGAATGTTTCTGGCCACATTGTGAATACTTCAAAGAGTGGGTTTAAATATTCATTATTATTCCTACAGAATGGTATTCTAACATTCATGAATTCCTCTACTGTAGTTTCTAAAAACTTGTGCCCACATGTCAGCACATTAATTGACTAAATATTATCTGTCTTGTGCTGACCCTGTAGGGATGGCCCTGCTAGTTTTACTGTTATTGGCAGGTGTCACTCTTCATTCTCTTTCCTTGAATTTTAAAAATTCTGCACTGCTGAGACCCAGGTCCAATGACAAGACCTACCAAGTGCGGGGCAAGGGAAAGTGCCCCAGTACCGGGTTCCAGGAGCCATGGATTCGTACTGTTCTCGTGTTCCCAGAGAAGACGGAGCCCTAGCCGTCACATAAACGTTTCCTCCTATTTATTTACACAAGTTATAAATGTCCATAGATGTAGTGAATGCAATTTAGTTTAAATGTTCCACTATTTTGACTCCCTTCCATGTTAACGAGGGAGTAGTTTAACTGTTTGTGCAATTATTATTTGGCTAAGTTTTTGAGTCACCCTTGGAAACTTCCAGAAACTTGGTGTAGATTTTATATATAGTATTGTTTTTAAAAACATGCATGAACATACACTCACAAACACTCACAAATATGAAAAGGACCAATATGTGTTCCTATGAGAGCAATTTAGGAACCAAAATGTATTCCTGGAAAGAGTTGTGATTTTGAGATCACATACCCTTAATCTATTTTTTTTAAATGTAAATGTTTAATGGCATAGATGTAAAATTCACAATTAAAACAAACAAAAAATATTTTAAATAACACTTACCCTAGAGGCTGCTAGGGGAAAAAAAAACCAAACTAGGTATGTAATTTGAGTATAAAATGAAAGCCATTTTCTGCCGTAAAATTTCAAGTTGAAAAAGCTCAATATTGGTATGAACATTTCAAGTGCATATGAAGGTCTGTCCAGAAAGTATACAGCCATGTAATATGAAAAATAGAGACATTTACTGACGAAGATGCAAAATACAAGAAACATTGTACAGAGAACAATGTACACAGAATGCCTCAGTCCCCTTCAAAATAGGCACCTTGGGCCTCACACAGTTCTCCCAATCACCGTCAGCTGCCCCGTTGTATTTTCCTTAATTCCATCAATGGCTTGAGGTCATCTTCCCTTTCAGAGGTGATTTTAGTTTTGGGAAAAGTCAGAAGTCACAGGGTGCCAAATCTGGCCTGTAGGGCGGCTGAGTCACCTGGTGATTTGATGTTTTGTCAAAAAAACTCTGCATGAGACGTGATGCATGAATGGGCTCATTGTTGTGATGAAGCTGCCAATCACCAGGTGCCCACAGCCTTGGCCTTCTGAATCATCCCAATAGTTTCCATGAGGAATATTCAACCTTAATGCAAAATTTGATGCAGATTTGTTGCTCTACTTGCTCATTTTAAATGGGATGGCTACACAGGACACATGCTCACTCAACAAGCCTCTACCACCTCCACTGAGTAGTACAGTGAAGTCATTATTCACTCATGTGTGTGTCAGTCTGCTCTCCTTGGCTGCCAGTTTACAATGATTTAATGGAAACCATTCTCATTATATTAACAATGGCGGGACTTTCTCTGGACAGACCTTGTACTCTTACAATTGATCAATCCAGGATAACCTTTACTTTTCTAATAGAAATATTGTTCAAATCCTAATGATTTAATTAGTGTTTTTTTAAAAGAAAATACAATGTTCTTAGTTATCTTGATAATGTAAACTGAAATGTAATTTTGTCTTGTACTTGGATCTTTCTAGTGAAGGCACAAATTATTTAAAAATTAAGTGATTTACCTATTTATTTTATATGTGGAAATCAAAATTTCCTGTCTAATTCAGGAAGTAAATAAACATGTAAGTCATCACAGAAAATGTCTATAGTGATATCCTATTAAATTATAGATTACTCTTCAATTTAATGTTCACATTCCTGCCAGACACACAATTCTAAAATTGTAGTTCTGATGATGTCATTTCCTTTTGTGACTCAGCATATAAAATTCAAAAATATTTTATAGCATGGTTCCCGCTTTCTATCCAATCTTCTTTCTCCCTCATTAATATACCTTGGGTTTAGTTGCTGGGACACTATTAACTATTCTAATACCTAATACCGCAAGCATTTTCATGATTCCCTCACTATATGGAATGATTTCCTTTTTACACACAGACACCTCTATTCATTTTCTAGGGCTGGGTCCAATTTTATCCACATTGTGATTACAAAATTCTCAGTATCTGCTAATTTTTTCTTATATGTACATACTATATACATTGTACACATTATTAATCATACACATATTGTTAATATATATTGAGCTCACAGAATATTTGAATAATCAGTAAGAGCAATATCCTTACAGGTGTTACTACATTTGAGTCTTTGAAAAACAAGGCTATTATTTAATACTGTTTTATTGCTACACAAAGATCTGTTTCTAAATTGAATTTAGTATTTCTAAATATGTTTTATATAGCCCTTGTGACTGAAAAAAAACCTTTAAACATTATATGATCCAAATGAAAAACTGATTTGTTGATTATGCTTATAGTATTAACATATTTATTTAGCCTCCCTCAGTTTTGAGAAGGTGTTTGTTGAAACTGAGCTGCTAAACCATCAGTTTCTTGATGGCAGAAAGTGTTCTTGAAAATTTCATAGGAGGTTTACAATACTGTGTGTTTAACAAAACCCAATGAAATCCTTCATTTCGAAGTTTTCAAAGGTTCTGTTTCTAAATGTCTTAAGCCTAAAAGAAAGGTGCACTTAAATCTATGAAACAGAACATCTTTAGGGAATATCAGAAAACATTTCCAAACATTCACTTTTTAAATTTCTTTCTTGCTAGGAATTCCTTTTTTTTTTTTTAAGAAAAAAAGGCAGTTTTTTTTTCTCTTTCATTGATAAAATAAAGTCCTTATCCTAAAAGTGACAGCTATGTTTATTTAGATGAGCACCTGTGAGGCAGCCTGCCGCCGACCGCCCTTGTCTGTGCTTCTGATGCACCTGAGGAAGAGTTGGGAGAAGAGTGTGAGCTCTGCCATTTTCTTGTTTGCGTGTGTTTGCAGTTCATAATCCACGGTCTCCTTACAGGACACTGTCTAAGCCCTTTGCTGGTTGTAGTAGTCTTCGCGTAATGAAAACCAACATTGTACTTGGTAAACCAGGCACAGGCAAACTGAAATACATGGGAAGCTAAGAAAAGAACTCCAGGTACCACACGTTCCAGCTGCATCTCACACCCATGCACTTGGGCCATCGGGCATGGCATATAGACATTGTACTGAAGCTTATTTCTTTCCTTATTTTTAAAAATAAAAATAATTTGTTAAATCCTTAGAGAAAACCAATCATTCCTTAATCTATAATTATGTAGAATTGTGTACCCTTTGGATTTTAGTATTTTACACATTGACAAAATAGAAAGTTCTTCTTGGGCAGGGGATTAATTTTTGAGTCCTAATAAAGAGCACAGAACTTGTATATAGATAATGATCAACACATTTTGTTAAATGAGTGAGTAAATAAATGACTTTGTTTCACTCAAACACGAACACTAAACTGTACTTACTAATGCAAACGTATCTGATTTTTGCAGGTACGGGTCCAATATGGCTGAGTGAAGTGTATTGTTTTGGGAGAGAGTCATCTATTGAAGAGTGTAAAATCCGACAGTGGGGTGTCAGAACCTGTTCCCACAAGGAGGATGCTGGAGTCACTTGCACTTTATAATGTATCACATTTCATTCACATTTATGAAATTGTTACAAAATGATTTTTATTACTTTGCTCCATTAAAATCAGTTTAATTAATATTTAGGAGATTAAGAATATTGTCCAAAGAAAAGGAATATTTAAAAATCACTGAATAAACATATTGAAGACCTTCATACTTACTCTATGTCTGTTCTTTAATCATTTTAATATCTAGGTTGTCAAATGGAATTTTATAATGACATATATTGAATTGAATATGCTGAAGTTCTATGCTGTAATCTAGAGGATTACATGTCAGTAATAATGGACACAAATTTCAATCAATGGCTCCACTTTATATCTTTCACCATAAGATTATGATTTTCGTCTTCTTCGTGATCTATTTAGTTGATTTTAATTTAATTACTCTCTGAATAATGAGAAGGTTGAGAAAAATTCTCAAGTTTGCAAAGTCTCCAATCCATACATATTTTTAAAGAAAGAATCTTATCCAGCTATCAAGATCTCTGATGAGCAGTAACTCAGCTGTTATATAACAATGCAAATATTAAGTTTTGGCCGTGTAAAATGTTGATCAGAAGCTTATACATGCTCATGGATTAACATGGTCAGTAATAACACAGTTAATAACATGGTTCTTAACAATAATAACATGGTTAGTTTACACGGTCGTGTATTGACAGTTTTTTTTTCTCCTGAATCATAAAGCTAGTGGAAACAAGACTTATGAGAAAAGGCACAGATCCACCATTGCTATGTGTGTCTGAATAATTGGTGGATCAAAAAGGTCATTTTCAACATGGAACTTAAGATTGTTATGCATTTAACTTCAGTTGAATAATTACATTGTTACAATTCTAACAGGCTGGTTAAAATGTAAATACATCTACTTACTCCATTTAAACTAACAGCATGTAAATGTCTTGAATGCAGAAGGAAGTGTCAACTGTCCTTTGGGGTCTTTGGTGAAGTCAGCCCCTGCCTCCCACTACTGCACTGTATTTATATTGCATCAGCGTAGCTATGCTGCAAGTACATTTTCCAAAACTCTCTTTCCTACATTGTTCTGGTTTATCATGGGCCATAAAAGGCATTTCGCATGGGGTTGGGAAACCGAGTGCTTGGCAGCAGCCATCTCTATTTTTATGCTCAGGAAGTTGCTGCAGGAGCAAGAGAGCACTGAGCGGCACTCACAGGTTGTCCCTGCTCTGCCGGCTCACCTGGTCTGCAGGAAGGTAGTGCCTGCACCTCCCCAAAGTCCCTCTGGAGCCCCTGTCAGTTTCTCCCGCTCTGAGGACAGGTGCGTGTTTAGCTCCACGATGATTCACAACCTCCTCGTGAGGCATCTGAACCATCAGAGCGTCAAGCAGTGAGAAATTGGTGCGGGGTCCCGCTCCTCCTCATGGGTTCCATTCTGTCCTTGCTCTCTCCCAGGTCATGTCCATCTTCCTTTCTCAAGTGCCACCTGCTGATTACAGATGACCCAGCACCGGGCACAAAAACAACAAACTCTTCCTAGGCTGCTTAATCAGCAACCGAAGTACACCACTGCACAAGGTCAAATGTCTTGAAAGGAACAAAGGAAGAGTTGTTCTGGACTTGGAGACAGTGGCCTTAGGCAGGACAAGAGAATATAGGGCATTTAATAATTGCAGTGAGCTTGATATTTAGAATCTGCCAGTTTGTAAAGAAAATAAATCATTATTTATTATACGAGCTGTTGAACTGCGCTATCTGAAGGCAGTGCTATACTGAGATTGAAACACGTGGGGCCAGGGTTTAAAATTAAGTATCGGACTCTTATGCTGTAGGTTTTTCTACAAAAATGTCAAGTACACAAGTGATTTTGTAAAAAGGGAAATTACTATATTATTGTTAGTAACTCTAGAATTGGATGTGACCCTTAAAACTCTTTGGGGTTCCCGAATGAAAAACTTCAGAATTACACTCCTAGCTAGAGTAATTTTAGGTTATGGAGGGGGAAAAAAAAGACTGAAATACCTTTGTTAATCCTCCACTAAGAACTTCCTCAGGGCCAAGGACCGGTAAGTTCAATCAAACCTGTGAAACATTTCAATTACTTTCAAAAAAAGCCTCCGATGCTTCATATTTACAAGATTTGCCTAAAAAGACTGATAATATTAATGACATAAATTATTCTCTTTTTTTTTGTTGTTAAATTCATAGAATAGTCCTCTTCTAAAGGCTCAATGTAAAATAAAATGAAAGCAAAGCTACTATTATGAATAAGGGCTGACTAGGGAAGTCAGGCCTGCTTGCTGTCAGGGGGCCAGTTTGTCACGTGTCCAAGTCAGCTGCCAGAGCGATTAGAGGGGTGAGAGGAATAACCTGTGAGACTCCAGAAAAAATGAATAAAAGGAAAGAAAGGTGGGTGGTAGGAGGAAGGAAGTGGAGAAGTTAGGAAGGAAGGAGGAGAGAAAGAAAGAAAGGAAAGACAGAAGGAGATTCAAGGAATAGCAAATTTGCTAATCATCACTTCGTCATACGTCAAAAGTTTTGAATTAAAAGGTAGGTCGGTTTGTGATATTTTTAAACATGCTAAACAAATGAGGTAATAAACTGATTGGGGAAAATGGCTCTTGGGACTGTAGTAGTGTAAGACAAATATTTCTATCTTCATAATTCAAATTCTAAAGTGGAGTTTCTACTTAAAAGCAGAGTTTTACTTTGTTTTGCAGGTAGTAAGGGAATCAAGAACTTTAAGAGAACAAATTTATCCTATAAATACCTCCTGCCAGTGGCTCTGTACTCAAATTATAATTGGAAGAGATTCCCACCTGGAAACTGGACTTAACGTTTACAGAAAGATAACAGGCCAAACATCTCCTATGCTAGAACTCCGATGTTCTATTTTTCATTTCAAAATAGAATTACAATATTATCTTCTAGTCATTAACATTGAGAAAGGTTATAGCTTATTAAGATAAAGCACAAATGCATAATGTTCTCTGTCTGTAGATTGTGCTTTTCTTATAGAGCTAAAACACTTGGTTCATTATTATTTTATATGTCTTCTCCATGAACAGGAGAGCAGTGTCCTATCACAAAAAGGCTAATATTTGTTAGAAAGCCCTAGGATGCGGTCAGTGTACCAGGCAGGAGGGGAAGACCCATGTTTCTGTCCTGGTTGTGCCTGGGGCTTACTGCGTGTTCTTTCTTTAGAGAAGTCATTTTATGTCCAATCCTTGAGTCCCAGCAAACTAAATAGGATTGATTATTTGCCGCTTACCTAACTCAGGTGTGATTGTGGGAACCAGGGGTGAATATGAAGTACAAACAGAAGTCATTCATTTTCCAGTACCCATAATATTTACTAGCACTCCTCACCACATTTGATGGTGTTAATACAAGTAAAGAAATCAAATCCTGTTTGTTACTTTTGCTTTCTCAACTGTGTTTTTGTTTTGATGTGACTTGGAGACCCCCACCCATGATAGCTTTATTAGGATTAAAAATGGGATACGGTTCTGTATACTGAAATAGAAAAGTAACTGTGTATCTAGAACTTTTAATTTACTCAGGTCTTTAGGCAGGAAGAAATGCTGCGGGAATCACCTTAGCCTAATTTAGTGAAGAAATTATCTTGTGCACTAAAAGGCATTAAAAAAAAAACCCCAAAACACCCAGTAAGGGGAACGTGTCCAAGGCTGTCGGGGGTACTTGGCTTGTCCAGTGTAGACAGCCAGCTCTCAGCCTCCACGGGCATCCAGGGAAAGAAACGAAAAGGGAGAAAACGAGCAATATTTACAGGCTGATCCGAAATGGAGCCACGATGATGCATGTCAGGAAGCTTCGGCGAAAACGGCCCCCGATAAATCTACTCCCCGCGCCCCCCCCCCCCCCGGGCTTCCAAAGCGTCATTCCCTTTCCTGAGTAGTTTTCCCTCTTTACATCAGTTTTCTCCTGTCTCCACGGTGTGTTCGTTTGTTTATTTGTCTGTCTGTTAGTTTCCCCTCCCACTTCCCAAGAGGCCTGGGGTTTTGTTTGAAAGCTGTTGGGTGAAACTGGCTGCCCCGAACCGCCTGCCCGTGGAGGTGTCAGGGGCCCCTGACGCAGGCCACGCGTGTCCCGGGCGGGCTGGGGACGGCTGCAGAGCCGCGGGGAACGAGGGAGAAGGAAGAAACCGGGGCCCGTCTTGGGAAGCGACTATGATCGGAAGGGGAAGAGTGAGGTTTGGCGGAGAGATTTTATAAGCAGTGGCACCAAAAGAGACAACCTTAGCCCCCCGCCCCCGGAGAGCGCTAAGCTGAAAACCAGCCAACAATTTGCTGGAAGACCAAAAACTCCAACTTGAGAAGCTTTTTCTTAGATTCAGGAGACATCTGGGAGCCGCTGGAAAGCCACAGAAAGAGCAGGAATACCTCACGTCGTCGTCGATGGCGGCTGGACGAAAACCTGCTCGTCTGCGCGCAGGGGGGACTAGCCGAGCGCCAGGCCAGGCATCCGTTTGGCAGGATAAGGGGTCTGTTTAGCCGAAGGGGACACTTCCCTCTCGCTTCACAGCAATTTCGAGCAGGTCACAAAATCTGGATTGAAGTGTCACAATGCTGCTAACGAAATTAAGCAAGCCGTGGGCACTTTCTGTGCTTAACATTTTTCATCTTTAAAATAAGATATTTATACCTGGACTCGGCACTTCACAATGTCACCGTTGCAGTAAATTAGACTCTGATAGGAACGTCTATGTAAGAGGCATAGTCTAATAATGTTTAAATTAGCCCTATTGTTGTTACTGCTATCTAGGAAGAAAAGGTGAGAGAGGCAGAAGAAATGCTCCTATTTTATACTCAAGGAATGAGTCCAATTTAGTATAATTTTGAGTGTGGAATTATACATATGTGTAGGATGAATTTTTAATGTATGATAATCTAAGTTTCTTAGTAGTGCTGATTAATCATTTTGGCATAATTACCCTGCTTTATTGTATAATTCATGTTATGACATTGCCAGGTGCCAGCAGAGTTACTAGCGACTCCGCTTTAATTGCCAGATAGTTC